ACTGAGAGTTTGTCTACAGGCTTTTAGATCTAGCCTGTTGCCTTCATGGGTATATTAAATATCTAGAAGCACTAAAGTCTGACTGTTTTGTCCAAATACATCACCGTGTCATCGCGTTAATGAAGTATCAGTCTTGTACACCTACAGCAGAAGAAGATGTGTGGAAACAAATCTGTGTGTTCATTCTTGAATTTTTTTGTTTTATTTACCATAAAAACGAATGCTAGGAAGAGAACTTGGTAGAAGTCTCACTTATTTTATGAGAACAAGATAATTGTCTAAGCTCTGTGTGGCTATTTGTGTGGCATGGGTGAATAGAGATTACTTAAGGATATGTCAGTTAGAAGGTGGCACTTTTTCTACCAACATGAACTCATGAGAGGGCACAGTATAATGTTATATCAGGTGTTTCTGTGATTCCAAGATTGAATCATTTGAGTTGAACTGGGAAAGTGAAAATGCAGCCTGCAGTGCCATCTGCCGGACTTTTAAATAAGTAAAAAATATTGTTTCATACTGCATCTAAAAACCATTTAATCATTTTGGAGAGATACCCAAAGTTTTATTGTGTTGAGAAAGTATGTTAAAAAAGATAGATCCATTAAGCAAGAAATGTGGCTGGAGTGATCCAGAAGAATATTTAAGGGACTTGTAGTTCAGTAACATTAAAATGTTTTAATGATTATTATTTTTAATATAAAACCAGTAATGATACAATATTAAATAAGTAAATATATAGGATTATGAAAATTTTAATTTTTTTCATCTACATGTAGAGGGGTATTTTTATAATTAGTTCAAATTTTGTATCTAATAGCTCTTATTTTCTTGTTCAATGCTGATGATAGATTTGAGTATTAACGGATCAAATCTTACGGAACAGATAAATACATTTTCTTTTGACAGGATCAAAGATTTGCAGTTTCAAGTCAGAGGACATTTAAACTGAGTAACAAGAATGGTCATTAACTTTTATGTACTGCCTGCTAAAGTCACTACCATAAAAAAAACATAAACCAAAGCAACAAACCAGCCGTACAAACAACAATAAAAAGCTTATACAAAATATTAACATGGGAAGACATTTTTTCCATTTAAGATTTTTTTTCTGTTGTAAAACACATGTTCAAGGAAATCTGTTGAAGATACTGATTTCAAACATAAATATTGATTTTTAATAAGAATATGTGGCAGATATTTTTGGTCAACATTTTAAAACTAAATGCTGAATTTTACTGTATTTGTTATTGCATTGATACAAAACACGATTTTAACCATTATTAACAAGTACTATAAAATCTGAACTAACTGGATTTCATATTTATGTCCTGATGTGAAGAGTACACTTGCAATGCATTGCTCCCTCTTGCCATCTTCTGCCTCCTGTATTTCTCACTGGTGAAGGAAGCTTCCTATGACACTTTGTCAGCCTTATTTATATATGTCCATTGTAAAGGCTTGAAATAGTTTCCTCTATTTTTTATTCCAGTATTTTGTTTTATTTTTTTCCCCTTCATCTTTGGGGGCTGTATGGGTGAGGAAACCTCCCCTTTCTGTCAATGCTGTTGACTTCAGTAGTGGAACTGGATGAATTTTGGGGGCACATGATGAAAAATTGTGTGGATATATGCATATATTTCTCCTACATAGTAGCTTCATTGGTCTTTCTGTCAGAGGGGATTGAATTGATATTTGCCCCAAGGATCCCCCAAGCCACTGTATCATATGCTGTTAAAGACTTAACCTAACCTTTAGGTGCCTGTCTACATTAAAGAATATTTAATAGACTTAAATTGTCCTTCCATCTGATGAAAATGTGCTCTGTAGCCTGGAGGTTAGGAACAAACTCAAAAAATATCTATTTCAGTTCTTGTTTAGTACTTAATATACTCTATGTATAAGGCAAATACTACTTCAGTGTAAAGCAAAACTATTGAGAAGGATTTGCTGCCTCTGTTATAGAATACCCAGAGATACAGAGATCCTGTCATTCCTCAGAAAGATGGGAAAGGTGGTTAAAACCTTGCAAAAGGAATAATTGAACCAAATGTGCTGTGGGGCGGGTAAGATTCTTTCTGCCCTGTGAATTTGGCAATCATTTTCTCAAATTCCCTTCCTGCTGTAAATAACATGTTAGGATTTCTCTGGTAATGCAGAATATGACATGCAAGATAAGCACTTGGTTTTGAACCCATGAACCTCATGGTAAAAAGGGTCTTACACTCATGCAGAAAGTAAGCAATCTATAAATACGTGATAATTTATAAAGAAATGAAATCTCCTTTTATCTAAGTTTTGCTTAGTTGTTTGAATGTTCATCTACCCCTGAGTGCACATAGAAGAGCAAAACAACATTGTATTAATACATTCCCTAAGCTTCATATGAGGATGAAAAGAATTTAGATGTAGACTGTCTAATTGAAAAAGAACAGGAGGAGGGACAGTGCTTGCTGTTACCTTCCCTTTCCATGCTAGTGGAGTCAGAGCTTTTAGTCTTGCTGTAACAGAGGTGAACTGAATTTAGTTTCCATGGTTCCATTTTTTAATAGAATATTTGATGTAATAAGAATTTTATCTGTAGACCTCTCCATTATTTTATTGCATTCTTTAAGGTGGTTATTATACAAATTCCTGAATGTCTTCAGTTGTTTTTATTCATTGTGAGCAGCAGTGTAAAACATATGTGTAATCCAATAATGGGGGAGAAGCATTAAATTTCTCCAGTATTGTGCCTAGGTTTTTTGACCTACTTCTTTTCTCGTCTTACTCAATACTGCAAACAGGTTAATAAAAAATTAAAAGTAACCCCCCAAAATGCCAGGTTTTTCATTAGCATAAAGCTAAGTATAATGCATCATGTTTGTAGTGAAGGAGAGTAGATTGTTTAGCTTTTGCTGTTGCTGCATTCTCACTATAGTGTGCTTGCGTGGAGTAGTTGTTTTTAGTGTGAGTTGGTTGATTTATGTAGTTACAAGTAGTGATACTCCAGTCCAAATGGAATATGTGTGTTTTTCCACAATTCCTTAAAGTGAATTATCATTTTCTAGGCTTGAATATCATCTTAAAATATCCACTTCACTAAAAACAGTATTTAATACAAATACCACTGAAAGCTTTTATCTTAAAAGTCAAAACAAGTCCACCACACACACCTACACAAAATTCCACAGAAACAGAATTGTCTCACTAGAAATACATTGGTTAGATGGTGTGAGTCTCAGTGTTATTTGAGGGAGTAGGTAGCTCAAAGCAGGTAGTGCAGATGATGGGTATCATCAAGACCTCTCCAGACAACACACCTGCAGTTATAATTTATTAAACTCAAGATGCTCTATTTCCATTAGTAATCTCTTTAGCTATTCATGAGCTTTTTTTAAATGTTATCCATGGAGATATAGATTTGAAGCAACATCTGGAGACGTGGGTGAAAAGTCTGGGGGTTCTACATAGCCTAGTGAAAAGACTGTTGTTAAACTTGCCCTGCTGGATGCTCCTCCTTGGGCTGGCCTGGGATCTTTCTTTGCTGAAGCTCATGAAAATCAGTGTTAGGAGTTGCAGTGCTGTTCTGGTATAGCAATGGAAATTTTTCTGTCTTACATGCTTTGATGCAGTAAAATAATTAACAGCTGAAATCTGATCCTTTTAAATTAAGCCTCAGGGTGAAGTAAATTAAGTTTCATGGCAGCTGAGCTCATTGCTAGTTGCTGCAAAAAGTGTGATCCTGCCTTTTACTGGTTCTTTTCACTTTTGGCCTCAGGAGCTCATGTCCTCCCTCACTCCCAGCACTCCAGTACCCTGCTCAGAGCAGAGTGATTCAGGTAGGAAAATTATAGGAAAACAATATTTAAAAAAAAATGTATTTATTTTGTAGCAGAACTAATTTTCTGTTGGTTCAGGTTGATGGGTTAGCTCACTGAGGGGGATCTCATGAAAGGCAAAATTGGCACCTGAGGAGCAGTAACAGCACGTGGCCAGGAGCACGAGAGGAGCTGGATTTCCCCTTTTGGAAGTGCCTGGCTGGACCTTTACCTGATTCCCCTATGAAACTTCATCTTTGCAAAGCAAATCTCATAGAAACCAAGAAGAGGACATGCTTTTTTTTTTTTTTTCTCAGAGATAATGTAATGGCAAGGAAGCTTTTCTCACTAAATATTTAATTATTATTATTTCTGACTTACAGAAGGCATAGTGAAGGCTGGAGTTCGGAATGCTTTTCCCTGAGCTCATGATTACGAGCTGAGTCTGTTGGGTAGCAAGACACTTGGCCAGTTAGTGGACATAATGTCAGGCTGTTTGCTATTTGGGGCAGCTGGAGAAGTGCTACTTCTTTGAACACTAGTCTTCATCTTAGGAATCTACATACCTGCTAACAAGCCTGTACACTCCTACAGCTAAGCTGGAAGAAATGTTTGTAATGAGGGACGACAAACTTGACATAGTTTCTCATACTTGACAAGAGGCAATACTACAGTGTGTTAGTCTATAGATTTGATATAGAAGATTGTTCTCAGCCTCTTGTAGGGCCAGTGTTTTGAAAACAGAAGTAGATTTTGCAACACTGTAACTGAAGGTTGATTTATGTGTGGTTTTGGTTTTTTTTTTTGTTGTTACAGCTGCTGTATAAATAATGTTAATTAAAAAGCAACACAAATTTGGTCAGGCAATTATATTTCTGCTTTTATTCTGTACATGGTAGATACTTCTATTTAAGACTATGTATTTTTTTGTCATCTTTTTTGTATTTGGAACAATTTCTAGTCAAGTGAAATGATTTGGTCATGACCTTTGAAATAAACCTAATCAGAATACATATGCCTGTTATTTTTTTCCCCTCTAGATTCTTCTGTAGTTTTCCGTGTGCAGTATGTATTTGATATGAGGTACATTTATTATTGTGAACGTGCCAAGAATGTTAGGTAGAGTTACAAATTGAAAGAGAGATATACACAGTAGTATTTCCTCCTATTCTTGCTATATAAACTTTTTTCTCATCTATGCAGGAGGTTGCATCAACAATTTGAAAGCTATAAAGAGCAAGTAAGAAAGATAGGGGAAGAAGCCCGCCGTTACCAGGGAGAGCACAAGGATGATGCTCCAACATGTGGAATCTGTCATAAAACAAAGTTTGCAGATGGTTGTGGCCATTTATGCTCTTATTGCCGGACCAAGTTTTGTGCTCGATGTGGAGGTCGTGTCTCTCTGCGATCAAACAATGTAAGTCTCCTGATGTGTACTCTTAAAAAAAAGCCTCCTTGACATTGTCACGCTGCAGATTGTTCACCTTAAGTTTGGCATTTCATGCTTCATTTTACTTAATTGTTTCAATCATTACTTCATTATGAGGTGTGTATAAAGTAGAATAATGTATTTAATGATTGTGGAGACACTTAGGATTCACAGAGTCAATTGAAAAAAAAAAAAGAATAGTGTGAAGCTCTACTGAGTGATAGCTTAAAGAAAACATACACGTTTCTCATAGAAAGAAAGAAGAAATCTTTTTGCTCAGGTACAGCTCCACATTGTTAATTTTTCTTGAACTCATTTTGGTTTAGATTTCTTTTTTTACAGAGCTTTTCATATACTTAAATAGATTTCTCATACATAAAATAATTTTTTTTTTTGGTTAGCAAAAAAACCCAACCAATTTTCTTACCACAGTAAAAGTGTTATGTGACTTTTATTTTAAATTTATTAATAAAGTAAAACTATAGATTTATCTGGATTAGGCAGTCTATTTTCAGGCAGGTGAGTTAAATCTTTCTCCCTCTGATCCACAGCTGCAATAGCTGTCACAAAACTGAAGGGTATCTGAGAACACCCTCCGTTCTGTCAGTCCCTTACAGGGGACTGGCTGCTCATTTGTACACAAGTGGTAGGATCTATATTCAAAAGATCATTATCTAGTGATTATTTTTGGCTGATCTTCTAGGGCTATAGTGTGTAATAAAACATTTGACAAATATCCTTTCATTGCATGAATAGTTTTGTTATCTATCATGAGATGATAACTGAGGATGGCTTTAAGGTGCCAGTCTTTCACAGGGGAAACGTATTAATACAAACTCAGTAAAAAGTGGTCACATATCCTATAGCAGATGATCCTGTTCACAATGGAAGTAGTTTATGGCCTTTTTTCACTTTGAGCTAAACACTAATGGAATAAGGCTTCTGAAGTTTCATGTAAACTAAAAAAAACCCAAACAACAACAAAAAAACAAACCTCAGGAAAAAAATGCATTTCATCTTTATTTTCGAAGTTTTCCATAACCCTTATGTACTTGTGAGTCCATTAAATTAAATACACATTCTGAAAAAATTTATGCAGGGTGTATTGAACAAAATTTTTCACATATTCCTATTTTAATATAAATGGATGCATTACATTGTATTGCCTGCAGGTGGTGTCATCAGAGCAAGTCTATTAAAAAATAGTTTATGTTATACAATTAATTAGAATGCATATGATACAGTTTATTTTTACTCAGAAAAAAATGCTATATATTTTAATTATTTTTCACCCACTGTTTCAAGTCACAGAAATGAAAAAGTGTCCATTCATTTGTAAGTTGCATTTTGTTTATTATATTGTTCATGCTTCTGTGGGTTAGGGTGGGAAAACATGTTTTCTACATATGCAGTAATGTCATCTTTTTATTTAAAGCTTTTTAATTTTTTTTGGTTTTTATGTCTTTGTAGAGAGTTATTAGAATTGCATTTCTTTGAAATCTGTCTGTTAATACTTGCCTGTTTTATTCTTTTTCTCTTCTTTCTTTCTTTTCTCTTTTTATTCTGCTTCCTTGGATGCTTTCCCAAAGGAGGACAAAGTGGTTAGAATCCATGCTTTTTATCATTTATTATTTTAATGTTGTTAGTTAACTGGGAACCACACTCATTTTAAAATCATCCAAAGGGGAGGGGGGAAGAACAGGAATCCTAACACCCAGGCCCTGTCCATCCTCTAGCTGAACATACGCTTCAAAGATAGACCAGGAACGAAACCCAAGACTGTTGCAAAATTAGGACAATAAAATAAAATAAATTAATTAGAAACTGAGAATTATTAATAGGGTAGACAGTAGAGGATGTAATAAAGTGTAATAAAGATTTATTTCACAGAAATGTCTTTGATATTTTTGATTTTTTACTTTTTGCATGCAAGGTCTTTCCATTAGCTTCAGGAAATCTAATTTTGTATTTTAATTGCAATTTTACATTGATTTACATGGTTTGCTGTGTTTCACTTCTGGCTGCAGCAGAAATTCAGTGAATTCTTGTGAAATCAGCTATTTGTTTTACATATGGAATAGTATGCATAAGCAAAGTATAACCTCTTAAAACTGGACATAAGTATAGTGAGCGATATGGAGTGAGACCTTTGGGAATGTGTAGTTACAATTTCAAAAATCTGTTAAACCTTTAGGATCAAGAACTGGCATATTCAGCACTAGCACCTTTGCCTTATCTGAAATAGGTGATGGTAGTTCCCCGTTGATCTCTGTGCCCTGTGCACGAAGGAAGGGGGGACTGTACTTGAGCAGAACAATGCATGTCCACTCTTCTCAGGTGGGTCTGCCAAAGGTGGTATTCCAGATGTTAACCTGGAGACTTAGAGTGGGACTTAGCCAGCTTTAACTTGGAGTGGGTTTTAGCCAGCTCCAATTCAATGTAGTTTTTGATGTATGGACAATGGTGTTACACTTGTATGAAGAAGTGGTGGTATGCCCCTACTGACATCATTGCAGAGCTCTAACCTGCAATTTAGTACTGTGCAACACCCAGAAAAAATTATTTCTATCACACCTGCATATTGCAGCAGGACTTTTTTTTGTTTGTTTTTCCTAAGGCGGTAATGTTCTGAGACTGTGATGGTTTTCCAGATTGCTGTGGAATATAACTTGCTACAGGTTCATTTCAGTGTTCTCTATGTTATACTCTGAACAAAGTGCTGAAATAGTCCAGGACTTCCAGATTTTTTCCATTCTATTGATCTAAATGTCTTGGAATAGAGTGAGAGAAAGTTTCAGCTTGATACTGCTTTCTCACTAAAACCATGCATCATTGGTGCATCAACTGCAATGTATTAAAAGGCTGCTGCACTTGCAACAGACTCTTCTTTAGGGCCAGAAATAGCTCCTAAGTGGCAGAAGTGACTTTGGATGCAGTTTAGCCACTTAGGTTTTGGAGTACAATCCAGGTGAACCTCACCTGGCCTGCGCATATGCTTGAGGCATCCTTCACAATTCTGTCTGGAACAAAAACTTGGCTAGATCTGCATGCAGTAGACAATGTATTTGATGAGGTAACAGCTTAGGTGTTAGTCCTTGAAAAATATCATTTAGGATGCAGAAAATAGACTCCACTGCACTCCAGTGCTCTGAAGACATGTGTCCTGAAGACTTGCCTTACTCATTTGGATTGTCCTCAGTTCAATTGTATATATCCCTATTGTTTGCACTTGGCTTGATTTAGGTGTTTCCATATTGAACTACAGGCTTCCACATTCCAAGAAAATGCCCTAATCCTATACATGAAAATCTTTTCTATACTTTGTGGTGAAGCTGAGCTACATGTCTTTAACAGCTGAAAAATTATGGGATTCAGAGTGAGAGTATCCAATAATTAGTCCTGAATGTGTGGGGAACACAGAGAATGATTTTATGAAGTAGGATTGCTTTAGCAGTGCTTGTCTCTGAAAGCTAATGGAATATATAGAATTAATTCCAAAATATTAACATATACCTAGTAAGTAACATCTTTGATAAACAGAACAATTGGTGTCATTTCTACAGAGCAACATGAGAAAAATATTCTTTTCAGTGGCTCAACATTCCTGAATAATCTGCATATAAGGACAAACCCTTCTTTATCTGATGAGTTTAGTGTCAGTAAACACTTTTAAAACATGTTTATAAGAGCCTTGTTCTTTCCACACAAATTTTTACCACAATAAATTATATTAATGTTAAAACATATGTGGCAAGTTCCTACAAGTTAGGGGTGCGTCTGTTGGAAAGGGTGATGAACTCTGGGTTACCAATGTGCTAAGCCAAGGGAAAAGTCAAGCATTCAAGGTATTTCCTGTAGATTTGGAGAATTAGTATTAATGAGACCTCACCTGGGATGTTATGTTCCATGTGTTACCCATCTTTGACAAATGCAAACTGACAGGCACAAAGAAAGTCATATGGAGGATGAACAAAGACATGGAGAGCTGCTTACAGGAGAGAAGACTGTAGAGACATTAGGGGGACAAAAGCTACAGCAATTATAATTGATATCTAAAAGTACAGCATTGATACCTAGACGTACAGTAATTTTAGACAATAAGGATAACCTTCAAACAGTGAGAAGCAGTGAATGCATAAAAATAAATGTAACTTGGCCATAAATGCTCTTTGCCTGGAAAATTATTTTTGCTATCAGTAGAATAAAGCCTTGGGAAATGTTTTGATGTGGGCTTATTAGAAGGAAAAATAACCCAATAAAATTTTAAAGGTTACATTTGATAAGTTTAGGAAAGAATTCATGTGATGTGGTTGCTTGTGGCTGTAAGGAAATGTATTAGGTGCTTAAGAGGTCCCTTACAACTGTTGCTTCTAGCTAAATATTTTAAAAATGTAAATCCTCTGTAGTACTTTGAAGTTGTTCTTGACCTTTTCAAGTAAGCACCCAATATGTCGTTAAGAACTGGTTGAAAAAATACGTATCAGAATGTATTGTTTTCTTCTCATTTAAAATAATACAGGCCATCTTAAAACAGTGATTACTTGTAGGGTGAGTTAGTAGGCACCTTAGGCTTATCAAGAGACTCTAGTACACTTACAAAATGAATTGGCAATAACTAGTACGTCGTAGTGGCTAATGAGGCACGTAACTTTTAATGATTCTTACTCTAATAGGTCAGAACACATATCTAAATATGTGTCTTAAATGCTTGTATGTTTTTCTTTCATGTCTGAGAGTAGGTTTAGACTACGTAAACTTCCTTAGAAAGATCTTCTTCAGTCCGAGAGTGGTGAGACTCTGGCACGGATTGCCCAGAGAGGCTGTGGATGCCCCCTCCCTGGAGGTGTTCAAGGCCAGGCTGGATGAGGCCTTGAGCAACCTAGTCTAGTTGAGAGGTGTCCCTGCCCATGGCAGAGAGGTTGCCTGAGATGAACTCTAGGGTCCCTTCCAACTTAAGCCATTCTGTGATTCTATGATTCTTTTGAGTATTGTTTAGCTCCTCATACTTTTCACATAAGCCTGCTCTCCTTTCATACTGTTACAGGCAGACCACATTTAATGGGAGCATTGTCAGATAAGAGGACTGTTGGCTAGTTTGGTTATTCAGATCAGGCTTAAATGTAGTTGTCCAATGAGGCTATTCAGTGTTAATAATGTTAGTAATAATATCATTGCATTTGAAAAGAGTTGGCAGTTCTAAGATTACCTTAGTATACAGAAATGCTGTTAAGTGAATGTGGCAACCTATCCACTGTAAGCACTGTGCATTTGTGTATACTTTTAAAGAAAGCAGAATATTATTAATACAGGGTTGTACATGAGGCAGCATTTAAGAAAGAAGTCATGCAGGTGCTTAGAGGAAAGCTGGCAGAAGGGGCCATTTGCTTTTAATTTGGCACAGTGTTTTCTAAGTGTTGTCAGTTCCTTACAAAGCGTCTACACCTTTGCTCTGGATCTTTCTGTTCTATGTACCAGCATTTTAATTGCCAAAATTATAACGGATTTAAGTCACTTCTCTCCATTCCATTTACTCTTCCCTTTGATGCAAACTATTGGGCTAGTTAGGGCAGTGGAGAGGCCAGCAAAATGTCCGGCTGGCACTTCTCCATGGTTTGGTAAGGAGCAGGCTGAGCCCTGGCTCAGTCCTCCCGATGGCCTGGCTGCTATTGCCTCCTCTGTTCTTCCCTCCAGAGGTGCCACAGCCTTGACAGGTGGTGGAGGCCCCATCCCTGGGGATGTTCAAGATCAGGCTGGATGAAGCTTTGAGTAGCTTGATCTAGTTGGAGATGTCCCTGCTTATGGTGGGGTGTTTGGACTAGATGACCTTTGGAGGTCCCTTCCTGCCCAGACATTGTATGATGCCTTGTAGAGAAAAAAAAAAAAAAAAACAAACACCTAAAATTACAACTTTTTTCCTTGCATCATTCCTGTAAACCTTCTTCCTAGTATTTGGTTAGATAATGCAAAAAAGATGCATTTCCTTTGCAAACACCTGCTACATGAAGTTGTATGTCTCTATTTCTTTCTCCTTATTGAAGAGGAGGTACATTTTGGGGTGCAAAAGTAGACTTGAATGAGAAAATGCAATTTCTTTGAATCAAAGTATTTTGTGAGGTGCTATAGGTATATTGAACTGATATTTGTATAACATTGACAGAATTAAGTGGAAGATCCATGTTCCCAATCGAGCCATATATTTATCCACAGGAATCGGTCTACTATTCCACAGATTTAATTAGGATTACAATTTTTGATCAAATTTAAAGTGAAAAGAATAAGGAGCAAAGGTTGGAAAATACTGTTTTTACCATTTTCCCATGTTTTCCAGAAATGTTCTTAGAACATTTAGACCCGTTTGATTATTCATTTTTCTGGTTAGATAAACAAAGGATGACTGGGAGGCAATCAGGATGTAAAATACATTATAGATCTATAAGAATTGATTTAACTGAGATTAGTAGTATGTGACTGCAGAAAGTAATGTCAGCTATCAGTACTGAAATACTAGAGATTCCCATTTCTGATCTGCCTTTTGCTTAAAATGTTTTCATTTTAGTAAAATGGCAGTGATTTATACTCTGGAAAGAAAGACAACTTGGAA